CCTCGCTTTGCTTGTGGCAGACTCTGTCATTATTTTGGTCGCATTTTGACATTTCACATGTTGACAGACATGATTAACAAACCATATCCTACTGAGGACACAGATGGATATGGTTCTGTGACCGAAATGTTTGCTGGGAATATGTTTTTGATTTTTAGCAACAGGTTCAATTGTTTCAGGTATTTGAATTCTTATTGATTCACGTGGTTGATATTCATATTGAGAGTATATCTTTAATAATTTACCAAAATAATCTATATGAATATTTTCCAACCAATGGCCTTCACGAAATATGCGCATATCGCGCGCGGTTAATGGTCTTATTTTCTCAGAAATGTTTCTTTTTGTTGCTATATTTTTTTTTATCAATATTATCTAAATTCAATTTATTTTAATTCAGAGAAAAGACAAATAGTTCCAAAAATATGTAAATTCCAACGTGACAGGCAGTTTTGGAACTAAATACACCGATGTAAATATTTATATACATCATGAATAAATAATATTATCTACACATATTCGCACAACAACACCTGTGTATTTAGTTCCAACTGCCTGTCACGTTGAAATTTTCAATTTATTTTGTTTTATTATCTGTTGAGTTATACTTTTATTTGAAATATTTAAGTTAAGAGAACAATTTCTAAAATATTCGTCTTTCTTTCTTTGACGATATTCTTGTTGTTTTTTAGCTATTTTTTTTCTTTTCTGTAGTTGATCTAAAGTAAATAATTGTTTTACATCTCCAGATCTTTTATTTTTTTTGTTATCCATATTGTTTTAAATAAATATTTTCTAAAGTTTATAATATATATACACACAATATTAAATTTTATTAAAATTTAGGTTTACTTTAAAATAATAAAATCTTTTATACAATGCAATTTTCAATGCAATATATAGAAATTTACAATGTAAAGTATATTTGATCTATTAGATAATTATATTTTGATATTATGAATGAATAATACATATAAGAAGTGTTTTTCTCTCGTATAATTTCTGCTTATAAGCAAGTCAAACTTCAGCGCAATGTGCAGCCGATATTTTAAGTCAGCATATTGTTTGAACTAATTAAATTAATAATAATAATAATAATAATAATTTAATTTCATAATTGTAGTAGTTGTAGTTGTTTTCTTGCTATTTCTTCTATTCCTGAAACAAACATTTGTATATTATTAAAAATAAAGTTTTGTTTTAGTTATTATTTTCATTTTGCATTTTTTTACTTACTTTGTTTGTATATTTTCTTTTTCTAAATCCCCAGTTATATAGTGCTGCCAATAATCTATATAAAAATCTCATAAACCTTTCTTGTTGTCGCGCCACACCGGCTCTACTACCTCTCGGTCTTCAATTTCTCTGATCTGAAAATAAGTATCTAATTTTTATTTTTTGGACTAAATAAAATATGTGTAATATATGTAACATTACTTTTTCTTTACCTGAGTCGATTGATCTAGGAGCTGGTCCTGAATTTATTTGCGAAGTGGCAATTGATGTTTCTTTCAAAGTTATCTGTCTCGCAAGAACTGGAGTTTGAACGACTGGAGTTTTACCTGTTTATGTTCTGCTTGGAACTATAAACAAGAATATGTAAGTGATTAATATATTTGTGTGTTTATATGTGTGTGTGTATACATATTATATATTTAATAAGATTTATATTTTTACCTGTTTGCGAAGCATATGCAACGTCTGGAGATTTTGTTTTTTGAGAGCAGCTAAGTGCTGCAATACAAACAATATAAAAATTAAAACAGTTGTCAAGATGTGTATATATTATATGTATTATGTACATATATTATACAATTTATATAATTTTATTATTTCTTACCTGGAAAATTATGCATACTGTCATTAGACAGAGTTTTTGGAGGACTTGCGGATCTTCCTGAAATCGCAACACTAGGATTTGCAGCAGGATGTCTTTTTTCAAATGACGAATCGTCGCTCAACAAAAATACTCCTGCGCGATACAAATAAAAATAAAGAACAAGATACATAACAAGATAGAGTGTAAGAGAGAGAAGAGAAGAAGGAGAAAAAAGCGAAAAAAGAGGACGAAGAAAGAGAAATCTTTCGAGATATTTAACGCTACATAACAATATTATTTTCTTCTCTTTCTCTCCTGTCTCTCTCACTTTCTCGCTCTCTCGCACTCTTGCTCTCTTGCTCTCTTGATCCCTCGCTCTCTTGCACTCTCGATCCCTCGCTCTTTCGCACACTCGCTCTCTCGCTTTCTCTGTCTGTAAAGACTTTTTTAAGAATGTTTTTCTGCTTTCTGTTTCTTTCTTTCTTTCTGTTATACAATATGTTGTAATTAAAAACATACTTACGCCAAATCCGTACTCTACACTTATGACGTCTTCTTTTTTCTGTTTATTGTTCATATCAGGTCTACCGGAAAGTTCTGTCCGTTTCTATCACAACAAGTTTTGACACGTAAGCACATGTTTACTTGGCGCATGTGTGCCTCTCTATTTTTATCACTTAATGTATACATACTGATGTAGCAAATTAACTAAAACAAAGTTGATTCACGTTAGTCGTATGTGTGAAGCGATAGTGTACCCATGGCTACTGATAAAGTTCATTTACTGTATTTTATACGAATTTCAACAAGGAAGAAATGCTACAGAAGCATGTAGAAATTTATTGAAAGTGTTTGGTGAAGGTACAGTTTCTGATAGGACATGCAGAAGATGGTCCGAAAAATTCGAAACAGGTGATTTCGACCTTTCTGATAAGCCACGTTCTGGGCGACCATCTTTGGTCGATGACGATGTTGTTAAGACCATGTTGGAGCAAGATCCTTTTCTGACAACATCGGAGATCGCAAAAAGGCTTAATTCAGCTCAGCAAACCATTTCGGACCATATTCGGAAGATAGGATTGAAAAATTTGGAAAAATTTGTATTTTGTTTTATTCCAAAAACGGACAGAACTTTCCGGTAGACCTAATATTTTAACCAACTTGATTTGTACAAAGTGACAGTAATCAAAGGCTGCGTCGATTCTGTATTAAACTATCTACTGCTTAAATCACAGTTGTGACCATCATGAACCAAACACCCAAAGCAGTATATAATCGATTTGAGTCATGGTAATCAATATTATGAAATAAACAGTAGATAGGTTAATACAGAAACGACGCACCATTTGTCACTTCGTAGAAACCAGTTTAGATAAAATATGGACAAACAGAATAAGGAAGACATTATGAATATAGAATTTGATTTTGATGTAAGTACGTTTGTAACTAAAACATCTTGTACGACAGAGAATGAGAGAGAGAAAGAGAGAGAAAGAGAGAGAGAGAGAGAGAGAGAGAGCGAGAGAGCGAGAGAGCGAGAGAGAGAGAGAGAGAGAGAGCGAGAGAGAGAGAG